CCCCAAACACTCGTCAAAGCTCTGTCGGGGATTTATAAACGAAGAGGAACAAAAAGGAGAATTGGTCAACATGGTTTGGCCAGCACAATCGCCTGATCTAAATCCTATCGAGTTGCTCTGAGATGAGCTGGATCGGGCCACTCGAAAAATTATACCACAAAATCATGAACATCTTTGGGAGGCATTCCCAGCATTACAGCGGTGTTGGCAACAAATAGATGATGATGCTAAAAGAAAATTGATCGAGCGGATGCCCAGGGTGTGCAAGGCGGCCATAAATGTGAATGGAGCATATTTCGAGGAATCTAAAATCTGATTTGTTAAAATAAAAATGGTTGAAACGATCCTAAAGTAAATCTAAGCTGTACAAAAAACTTATATTCTGATTGAATCCGAAATAATTTTTAACTTTTTTAGAATTATTTAGCATTTCGGTATTTCCTAATTTTCTGAAGTGAAGTGGCTTCAAGACTTCTAAAAGTGATTTCAAAGTATCCTGAAAAGTTTTTTTTTTTATTTCGCTTATTCACTTCCAAATCAGTACTTCCCAAAGAAATCTCCATTTTACATATTGGTTTTAAAATCAGTATATTTCACCGTGATTCTTTACTTCTCCCGAGTCATTCAGTGTTTTTCAAATATTTCATCATCAAATTTCATACATTTCTGAAGTGATTATGTACACAACAAATTGAATTTAAAATTTCCTCAACTGATCCAGTGCATAAAAAAGAAATTGGGAAATTGGGAAATTAGGCTCTTATACACACCGATTTAAGTGATTCCAAACTTTTCAGGTCTGATTCACATCCAATTCAAGTGATTTCAAACTTTTCAGGTCTGATTCACATCAAATTCATGTGATTCTAAACTTTTCAGGTCTGATTCACATCCAATTCAAGTGATTTCAAACTTTTCAGCTCTGATTCACATCAAATTCAAGTGATTTCAAACTTTTCAAATCTGATTCACTTCAAATTCAAATCATACCAAACTTTTGTGTATAGAATCGCAACGACTTCACGAGATTCTAAACTTTTCAGGTCTGATTCACATCAAATTCAAGTGATTTCAAACTTTTCAACTCTGATTCACATCAAATTCAAGTGATTTCAAACTTTTCAGCTCTGATTCACATCAAATTCAAGTGATTTCAAACTTTTCAGGTCTGATTCACTTCAAATTCAAATCATACCAAACTTTTGTGTATAGAATCGCAACGACTTCACGAGATTCTAAACTTTTCAGGTCTGATTATCCGTGGAGCGATATTATTCTTATGGCGGGTAAAATACATTTAATGATTTACTAATTTTCATAGTGATTTCAAACTTATCTACTAAGGATCAATAAATTTGAAATGATTTCTAGCTCGAAATGATTCAGTACTATCCATAGTGATATCTAACTTCTCTACCGTGAGCCATCACTTTCTACAAAACTTTCCTAGTCTAATTAAGAGCTTTCTGAATGTTTACCACAATAATTTAACAGTGATACAGTGAATTTGTTCAAATTTTAGTGAAAATATAAACTTTTCTTGGGTGATGCTAAACTTTTTCAGGTGATGCAATATTCAAATGAGTGTTGCAATACTTTTCCACGCGAGTCGTTACTTATCACGGGTAGTGTACATACTATGCATTATTTCTATTATGTTTTAGTCGGGTCTTCTTTCGACATAGTGATGCTAATGATTTCACAGTGTAGATTATACTGTCGCGTCATTAGATTGAAGGGGCCATTTTTTGCGTAATTTGTTCTGTGTGATTTTTCTGAGAATAATTTTTGTGTTCTTAGATGCCGACAGGGTGTGTTGAAGTTTAATTGTGAAAGTATTTCTGATAATTCTATGCGAGTGATTGTAAGTTGATGAACATGCAGCGTGCTTCATATGATGCAAGAGGAAATGCGGTCCAATTCAATTTGCGAAGGGCATATAAAAGGAATTGTTTTTGGACGGATTCTATGCGTTCCTCATGTATGGCAATGTACGGATTCCATACTAGGTTACAGTATTCCAGAATAGGTCTTACGTATGTAATATATAATAATTTAATAGTGTATGGGTCTTGAAAATTATAGCTGAACCCAAGGGGTAGGTCACTCCGCACACCAATCTTGGGTCATCTTTTTTGTCAGTGTGCCGATTGGCCGGTCATAGAGCAAGCTGTAATTGTTTGTAAAATACCCATCCCGGCAACCCGGTATTTCCTTGAATGTTTTGGTTTCAAATCGCAAAAATAAATTGGATTAAGGATGACGCGAAAAGTGACAGGTGTGCGAAATTTCGGAGTTTTGTATTCATAGGGTAATAAAAGTCCTGTGTTTTACTGTTTTATAGTGGCAGACCAGAAACCTAGCTTTTCGTGATGTGAAATGCATCGGTCTATCAGCGGCCGGAAAGAGTTGGAACCGGTGGGGATCATTGTTGGAGATCGACTATAGAGGATGATGAATATATTGATTTAGTTTGTTTTGTGTGATTTGCAGCATTATTTAAATTCAGGGTATTAACTGGGTCCGCTTAACTGCCTCTTTCTCTTGAGCCCAGTCTAGAACCTACATATTGTATTTAGATCTATAAGTAAACTGCTGGTCTGAGTTTCTTTGGTATATTCAATTAGAGGATGCTCCTGAATATACAGTCAAACAGTACGTAATGTTGTGAACAACTTCAATGACAGTTGTCCATCAGTGTTCCCATTTTATTTTCAACAATGCCTACGAGATTGTGCCGAAGGTATGCCGAAGGTGTGCCGGTGAGTGTGCCCAATATGTGCCGAATATAATTTCGGCACAATGTGCAGTTACTTACCCCTTGGCTCAACCTCTTAATGAAGCCCAACATACTATTAGCTTTCGTTATGATTGTATTATAATGTTCAACAAAAGTGAGTTTGGAGTCTAGGATCACACCCAGGTCCCTTACAATTTGACATTTTTCTACTTTTTAATAACCTAAAAATATTTCAAAAAGAGGTGATTCTATTTTTCTGCTAAATACAATTGCGTTGCATTTTTTTACATTGAGTTGGAGTAGACCAAATGTTGAATACTTTGATTTCATTCTGGAATTCTTCTGTGTCGCTAGAATTACTTATTTCCATGAAGAGCTTCATATCGTCTGCATATATAAGAAATTAGGACATGTCGTTTACGTATTAAACAAAAATAATTGGGCCTAAATGAGAACCCTGGGGCACCCCAGCGGTGACCGAAATAGGTTCTCAAAGTTTATTCTGAAAACGAACTATTTGTTTGCGATGCGTTAAGTATGATTGGAGCCAATTCAGAAGTCTAGATTCCATTACTATTTTTTTTTTTTTGCAATTTAAAGAGTAATAATGGTATGTCGATTCGGTCAAATGCTCTACTGAAGTCAGTATCAAGAGCTTCCACGTGCTTGATATTGTCCATTGCGATAAGAATGAAGGTTACAAATTCAAGAAGATTAGAGGTAGCTGAACGACCTTTAACAAAGCCGTGCTGTTTGTTTGTAATTTAAGATTGATTCAAAAAGTTTTGGGATGCAAGAGATAATGGCAAATCCACGATAATTACGTATGTCAGATTTCTTGCCTGATTTGAAAATAGGCACCAAATGAGACGATTTCCAAATTTCAGGGAATTTCCCATTTTTCAGAGACATATTGAAAAGGCGTTCTAAAGGAAGGGTGAGTTGTTCTGAAAGATTCTTCAAGAATACAGGTGCAATTCCGTCACGTCCATATTTTTTAGTGCGTTGAGGACTTCATGTTGACATATTTGATAGACAGATATGTTGTTAGAGACCTCGGAAATGAATGCAAAGAAGTCGCGGTCGCGGTCTTTTTCAGAAAATGTGGTGTATACTTCCTGAAAGAAATTTGCAAAGAGATTGCAGATTTCAGAAGGATTTTCACCTACTTTTCCATCAAAATGCATTTGTGACGGAAAATTATTACTTTTCAATTTCGTTTTTACATAATTGAAAACAGTTCTTAGGACATGATTTGACTTCATTTTCGACTTAACGATTATATTCTTCATGTGCAGTGTTAATGACTGTGTTGAGTTGGTTGCATATGTTATGATAGTGTTGTAAATTTGTGTTATGAATATGCAGTTATTAATAAGTGTTGGAGTGTTCGACTGTGAGGTTTTACAATAAACAGTTTCGGCTTGGCATTTTTTTGGCATTAATTTGTTCTGATTGAGTGATTGCCAGACTGCCAAGCCGAAACTGTTTATTGTTATTAATAAGGATTGATAAATATTTCCCTGAATCTAATGAAAATTCCCCGAGATTCCCTGAGTTTTCCTGATTTTTCAGGTTTTTCCCGGGAGTTGACATTCTATAACTCGATAAAAAAAATGTATGATTCCCTGGAATTCTCAGGAGAAACATCACCTGTTATCCGATTCTCGATTTACAATAAATGTTCAGGAAATGGAAACACAGCTACGATTGACTGATAAATCATCAGATTCTGTGCAGTTGAAGCCTTTTTCAGCCAAAGAACTATGCATGTTTCGAAGAGCCATTTCCAAGAGTGAGAGACGACTGTCGATCATTTTCAGTTCGATTGGTCGTCAACACATTCTGCATGACTTTTTTTTACGATTCTGACTGACAGTTCAATGAAAATGTGTGCAGTTATGAATAAAACCTTACTGAAACTTCGATCAGAACGAAGTGGCACCATTTCAAAGTATTTTACCTAACAAACTCTGTTGACACAAAAACTCCCCTACGTTCACCATTTACCGCCCGCTAACAACAATAGAAAGTCCCATAAGCCTACAACGATCAAGTCATAACGTAAAATAGGCCCCCATATCTTATCCATTACCAAACATTTTAATTAACTACCGCGTCCACTTACGGCATCTAGCTCCAAATCTGTCGTCAGCTATCTCCCCAAGCAAAGGCTACCGCCCAAAGGGTAAGCGATCATAATATACCCGCCCCGTTATCTGCGCCATCTAATCTGATTTCCAACCATCAAGATACTTACATTCATGCCCGTAACTTTAACTGCTGCGGCTACTGCCTTGGCTTAGAAGCTACTACCGCAATGTTCCATTTGCCAGAGCCCTCAAATGGACCGTCAAACCAGCACACACCGTCTCTCTCTCACTGTTCACGCTTAGGTTGCTGGCTGCTCACTGCGTGAAGAGGGAAAATTTTCCACCTCGTTTATGTTCACCTAGAATTCGCGCACTCGTCAGTAGGGCTTCCTAAAATGATAAAACGAAAAAAAATAAGGTAATTTACGTGAGAAAACATGTGTTTACGTGTCTGTTACACAGTCTGTGTAAATAGTTTCGATTCATGCAATAGTTACAGCATCTTACTATATTCAACCATCCGTCAGAGTTCCCGCAAACAAGAAAACCTAATCTTCGACTCTGTCTGTCTAGACGTTCGCTGGCTGTCGATTCGAACGCGAAAGCTAAGGACGGAATTGATAGTGCAACTAAATAGTTGATCGCAAATAGTCAAACGACACAGTTTATGCATCTGCATCAGTATGCGGTGTATGTTGCAGTGCAGGTCATCGAACAGAAAATGTGGCTGCATGTGAATTTGTTACGTAACTCTCGTAATGGTGCAAATTGCAGCTAACAGAGATCTCGAGTGCACTCACGCGAATGTGGGTTGCTGCCGCCACCGACAACGAACGATTACCGATATACCGGGTGAGTGAGCGAGCAGCCGGTTTCGCTTTAAATTTGTATCGCTCCTTGCTTGCTATTGGCATATTTCAGCCAGGAATGCGAGACCTGGTGGCGTTGCGATTGGAATTCTAGGATTTGAGCTATTTTCTTCCCAAGCTATGCAATGTAGAACCCAAAAGGTGGATTTCGTAAAGAACGTTTAATGTGTGCACGACATTTACTGCTTACTCGAACTGTAATCCCTTCAATAATAGGGCTTCGATCGGTCCGTACCTTACTGACAGCAACTGTTAAGCTATTGCCACATTACAGTTAAGACATGCACTTCCTACGCGACGATTTTAATGACCATTCTTACAACCCAGGCAAATCAGATGACAAATTACCCAAAACACGGTCCGTTGGCATTCACCGGTTCGAACGGACCATTCTCCATTTACCAACCATATTTACTACCGAAAACCCATTGGCAAGAGAAAAAAAAAAGGTTCAGTGCAACAAATGCTGCCACAACCGGTTTCCATTCCATTAAAATTATTATCCAACCATTTGCGACATATTCTCCGCATCGTCAAAACGCATTCCAAACGAGAACTATGAACGTGTACGACCGACCAACGGACCGACGACTTATGGACAACCCGTGATAGGGGAAAATCTCATTACCTGCCGTCGGTCGGTAATGTTCCACGGATTTCTTTCGAACTCCTCCGAAGCAAACGAGAAGCGGATGCATATGCCACTTATTTTCCATTAACTAGTTAAACCCTATAAATTACTGCTTAATAATTTCATCAACTCATCGGGAGTGCTGAACGCAGTTTTGACAGAGTGGTACCGGTTCCCGAATCAAGGTCCTCAAACAACAAAAGTGGACGAAAGTCAAAGAACCACCCCAAGTCATAAATTCTGCAAACCTTTCACCGAGCACTGCTGAGTCACCCGTCAATCCCGTGAAGGTGTGTATGTGTGTAAGCAACTGCTGTCTCATTAAACCGCGGGATCTGTCTGGTCATTGCAGCACCGCACCGTCGCGACGTGGAGCATCACTGGAGATAATATGATCGGTCGCGCGTGCACCTACCACATCGATCCTTCCACACGTCCCGCACCGGTTTCCGACACAAGGAACTGCTGTCTTCATCAGCGTTACTCCCAAGAAGCGCGGCAAATTCAACTATTACAGACCACGACGGGCTTGTTGTCGGAAGTAATGGTGGGCTATTTGCATAATGTGCCGACTTAAAATAATATTTGCGCGCTATCACAACAAGATGCAGCTGAGACCAGAAGTTATCGATGCTGGCTGCCGGCGATGATATGCATACTTGGTGATGATAGTTTCCGAAACAACCTGTATGCACGTCTCACGACAGATACGTATCGGGAAAGACGGTGCTTAATTTGCAACCGACTAACGAGTTGCGATGAATGAAAGTCGGCACTACAAGACGAAAAGTGATTAGTGAAATTGTAGAGTGCAGCATCGAAATTACAAGGCAAATTGGCTGCCGAACATGAGGAAGGAAGCGATTCAAATTTGCTTGTTTGCTGCTGCGGTGAACATTCTGCGAGATAGCTACATAGTTGTAAAGAAGATTTATCAATTTAGGCAGCGAAATTGGTAGATTCCAAGCATTCAGCACTTCATTGTAGTCTTCGTGTTTGACTTATTACGTTCCTACTGGTAGTAATGCCTGCTCACTGCTTAGTTTGTCACATTTTCACAGTTGTTAATTAATGGTACCGTAGTAAATTTTATCCGCGGAAAAAAAACTCGGTCTAGTGTGCCTAAATATACTTATACCGACAACGAAGCAGTCTTCAGAGTGGCAACTGCATTTATGAAATGAAATTCCAGTTTTTTTCCGGGACCTCAACATATCTTCCCCGGATTCATAAATAGCTAAAAATGTTTGAAAAAGGAATACTGGCATGATAGGCAATTTTTGTCACTGAAAAAAAAAACAAGTTCCGTCATATTGTTTTAAATGCAGAAAACCAGAGAAAAACCAAAACTCTATTAACCTCTATTTAACACACAACATAAATTTTCAGAATTTTGACAATCTAGATCTAGATCGCTACAAATTGTCAAATTATGCTCCATAACTAAGCTAGTTTTATTAAGTCTCAGAATTTCTAAATCTATCTAAGCTACATATAAACTATTAAAATAACACTAGATTGATAGATAGAGCTTAAAAAATCTTTTCGAAAACAATAAGATCTACGCTCAATTGTATATCAGACTGAAATTTTGTTGCATGACAAAATTATTAAGATTATGAGTCTACCTACATGAGTACCTGATGGGCGACGACTCGTTGAATTCAAATCTGCGCCGAACGAAGTAACCGTCTCCATTGGTCTCGGTCCTGAGCCAATCGCTTCCAGTCGCCTTGGACGTTCAAAGACCTAATGTCCTCCTCAACTGCACAAAGCCAACGCGTGCTTTGGCTCCAGGTTCCCTGCTGAATAATGACTTCGCTTGATGCTCTTCCGGCATTCGTGCCACATGCCCAGTCCACTGTAGCCTGCCGTGTTTTATAAGCTTCACAATATCCATGCCGTTATATACTTGGTACAACTCGTGATTCATGCGACGCCGCCAGATGCCATTTTCCAGTTTATCGCCGAGTATTGTTCGCAACACTTTACGCTCGAAGACACCGAAAGATCTCCGATCGGCCTCTTTCAATGCCCACGATTCGTGGTCATAAAGGGCTACCGGCAAAATCAACGTCTTGTACAGCGCGAATTTCGTTTTCGTACGCAAGCTGCGGAACTTCAGCTGGCAACGCAACCCGTAGAAAGCCCTGTTCGCGGCTGCAATACGCCTTTTCACCTCGCGGGTAACATCATTATCGCACGTCACTAAAGTACCAAGATAAACAAATTCGTCCATAACTTCAAATTTTTCGCCATCTAGCACCACTTCACTACCAACACCACTATTGCTTCACGCTTTCTACCGGTGACCATGTACTTCGTTTTGGTAGAATTTATCGTGAGACCAATCCTCGCTGTCTCCCTCTTAAAGGGCGCGAACGCCTCTTCCACTGCTATACGGTCGATTCCGATGATGTCGATGTCGTCCGCAAAACCAAGGAGCATGTGCGACTTTGTGATGATGGTACCGTTCCTCTGCACGCCAGCTCTCCTAATCGCTCCTTCGAGGGCGATGTTGAATAGCAAGTTCGAAAGAGCATCTCCCTGCTTCAACCCATCTAAGGTCACGAACGAGGCCGAAATCTCGTCTGCAACCCGTACACACGATTTCGAACCATCCAGCGTTGCACGAATCAGCCTAATTAGTTTCGTCGGAGAACCGTTTTCTTGCATTATCTGCCATAGCTCGTTTCTCTTTACTGAATCGTACGCTGCCTTGAAATATATGAACAGATGATGAGTCTGCAAGTTGTATTCCCGGAACTTCTCAAGGGTTTGACGCAGGGTAAACATTTGATCCGTCGTTGATCGACCCTCACGAAAACCAGCCTGGTATTCGCCGACGAAGGATTTCTCAAGCGGTCTCAATCTGTTGAACAGAACACGTGATAATATTTTGTACGCCGAATTCAGAAGCGTGATTCCTCTGTAATTGGCGCCCTCCAGTCTGTGTCCCTTTTTTGTAGAGGGGACAAACAAGACCATCCAACTAACTAGCGGGTAATTCTTCCTCTTTCCATATCTTGAGCAGTATACGGTGGATCATCTGGTGCAGCTGCTCACTTCCGTGTTTGAGAAGTTCGGCCGGGAGCTCATCCTTCCCCTCAGCCTTACTGTTTTTCAGCACTCGTATCGCCTTTTTCACCTCTTCTAGCGTTGGTGATTCCACAGCTTGACCATCGTCATCGATGTGTGTTCTGATGTAGATGCTCCCAGAAAGACCACGTGTTGGTGGATGGTCGGCATTTCTCGGATGTCGTAGATGTCAGCACCTTCAGGGGTCCTAATATCGACTCGGATCACTACCTCGTTGTCGCGAAAATTCGAGCGCGTCTATCGACCGTTACGAGTTCGAGAAACCGGAGATCGAAGCGTTTCAACATCCAGCGTTTGACAGTAGATGGTGTTGCTGCAGAGTACCACCAGAAGCGAAATGAGCGGATACCGGAAATCAACGTGAACGAGAATCTCAACAATCTGTGGGAAGCTGTCCACGCAGCGGTGAGCACGAGAGACGACAGTTACAGGTACAGCTCAGAGGCGCCCCCGGAACGGGTGGTTTGACCAGGAGTGCCAGCGAGTGACAGAGTAGAAGAACGTCGCCAGAAGCCGGATGTTGGTGTCTGGTACCCGTCAGAACAGAGAGCGGTACAGGGTAGCAAGGTCAGCCGAGAAACGAACCCATCGCAGGAAAAAAGGCAGTACTGTACTTTCAATGGCGTGAAGAGTAAGACAGCTATGTGCTATGACCGTGAATGTAATCTGCTGACAGATAAAACGATGGTGGCTGCCAGGTGGAAGGAATACTTTGAGACGTTGCTGAACGGAGAGAACGAAACTGCGTTGAATTTGGAGTAAGCAAAGTGGAAAAATAACTTGGAGTGTAA